ATGGAAAGGATTATAAATAAATGTAAAGACTTTGATTGCAATAAAGTATGGTGATTCAAACGTACATTCTCAATATTCTTTCTCTCACAGCGGGTACTTGAATAAAATTTAGTGACTTGTACAATGAGTTGAACACACGAAATTCTACACAAAATTCCTATATTTATACTAATAATAAGTAACTGTCAAATGGTTGCTTCGTTTCAGGATGAGGACAAGTGTCCTATGGATGCTCTTCGACCCTTATCTTCATGCCACATCACTTTTCCCAACTGCCAAATGAACAACCTTTCCCTCCTTTCTTCAGATTCAAATCCACTTGCTGCTGATACAAGAGCTTTCCGGTCGAAAACTGTATTTAACATAGAAAATTCTCTAAGTGTTTCCTCCTTCTTAGGAAAGATGACTTCGACACAACTCCTTTCAAAGGCTCTTATTTCGAAGTGTCTTCAGCTTAGATTTCTTCAATCTATTTTTAGCCAATAAGGCCAATATATGTGAGTGTCGAATTTAGGAGATAACAAATTGCCCCCCCAAGAATGTCAATTTCGACACAAGAAGAAATAGTCATTCTTTGATGTTTCTATACGACACCTGTCCATTTCTTGGCCACATAATTTCAAAGTGAACTTTTCGTCTTCTACCAACCACTGCTGACATCAGAGCCATCATTATAGTTTTTCTAATACGTCACTATTAGTCAACCGTTATACGCTACTATGATGATCATTATTCCTATAATCTAGGAAAGCATGGCAAGCGTTCCCATCACTTGTCTGTACAAATGATTCAAAGATCACCACGTGTCCCACTCACTGTGCAGCATTAAATGACTTTGAGGAAAAACACTCTTCCCTGGCTTCTATAAATAGCCATGAACATCTCCCTTTGGAATTTTTCTAAACGTCTGATATTCTTTGTCTCTTTGCATTCAAAAAGAAACCTCAAGAACTTCATCTCTTTCACAATCTTTCTACCAACAAAGCCATGGCCTTTCTTTCAAATGCTCCAAACAACCTAAAGACAACAGGTTCTTCTGATCCATGACAACAACTAGATGTTTTCCCGGCCAACTCCGTTCCTGCTTCGTCTGGGGAACGAAGGTTCGTTCCTGAACCTATGACCAAAGAAGAACGTGATGCATACAACTTAAAGGTACTCATTCCTGTAAGGTATTCTAGACAAACGTATGCTATGTCCGGTCCGTTGTCTGTGTGTTTTGAAAACCCTAAAAAAAATAACACCTTTTTCCTAACTCACCCTAGACTCAAACCCATAGGTTGCACAAAGAAGCTCAAAAATGATCCCGAAGATGCAACCCCTACCAACCAACAACATTCCCAGACGAAGGAGGATATAAACCTCTAGTTCATGAACAAAGGGAATAGAATCTTAAGGTCTTGCCCTAGCTTGACCTCAGAATACTCAGAGTGGCTGGTTAAGATGGAAGCAGCTCAATCCCAAATCTGGGAAGATATGGGAATTTATGACCTAGTCATGCTGTCGAAGACTGGGTTAGATTATTGTCCTCTTATGTTGGTGTCCTCTTTGTATTTCTGGGAAAGCACACACTACACCTTCCATTTACCTTGTGGAATGGTGACACCCATTCTCTTTGATATTGCAGCCATCACTGGTCTTTGACCAACCGGTGATTACTTTGACCCTGATGATATGTCTTAAGACACCATTGGGTTTTCAACCATGAAACCTACCTATACCACTTTCATCAATCACTTCCATCATAAACCAACCGATACTGTCTCTGAAGTGGAACATATAGCTTTCTTAGCTTTATGGTTATCACATTTTGTTTTGTGCACTAAGTCACTCCAAGTGACAAATAAGATGCTTACTCTGGCCATTCAACTTCACCATGGCTACAACCTCTGTTTGGCTGAATTAATTCTGGCAAACCTTTATGAGTCCATCAGTAATGGTGTGAAACAAATAGGAAATAGAGCAAGCCTTCTTCTTTCTGGCCTTTTTTTGCTTCTCCAATTCTAGCTTAATGCCACTTTTAAGTCATTTCTTCCTCAGAAGAACATAATTAATGAGAAGGCTCCAGAAGTTATCAACATGAGGGTCGAAGGTACCAGATTGGCTCTATTGACTCCGACAGATGAACGCCAACAATTCCAAAAGGCTTTTACCAGCTTCGTGATGATGTTTGTGAAGCAAAAATAGTTTTTTTTGACCATGGCTCCATTTTCTAATCGAAAGGTTTGTCCAACATGGTTTACTCGACCATATCCCTCAACTGAAGATCATGTCGAGGAATATGTGGATATTTGGGAGTCCTTTCTACGCCCAAGGATTATGCCCCTGAGGTTTAAAAGTTCCAAGAATCAACTTAGCTTGATCTCTTACCAGCCGAACCTTGTTTCTCGCCAGTTTGGAATTATTCAATCGCTCCCAAATCCCATCTATGCTCGAGAAAAGTCTTTGCTATATTATAATGTAGGCTATTCTAAAGAGGCTTCTGTAATACCCCAAATTTGTCATACCCTTTCACTCTTATCTGGCTTATGCATTTTGCACTTCTTATTTCATGTACATACCTCCCGTTAGGTCATTTGACATATCATGCATCGTTAATCAATAAATTTTTGGCATGGGATTAGGGATTTCGAAGAATTAGTGTTGTTGTATGGCTGTAACACTCTCATCTTCGCACAAGCTTGTTTCGGTTGATTTCTCCACCAATCATTTGTTTGAAGCTAGGGTTTTATTTCTTGGACTGCTTTATCGTCAAACTACATGGGCATTCTTTCTTCCCAACATCAAGTTGCAATCTTTCTTCAAGGCTTAAGAATTAGGGTTTTCGTCTGTTAATATTCAATTGAGGATCATTGGATTTTCAAGTCAAGGCTATCTTCCATATTCCCATATTCATTCTCCAGATTCCCTCAAGGCTTTATTGTTGTGTTAAGACAACTCTTCAACCATGATACGAGGTGCTGAGTTTGAAGGTCCATTGTGCTCAGGGCGTCATTATTTCAAATACTTGTTGCTTAACGTACAAGTTTAGTAAGGATTAGAAGATGGAAATGAATTAAGGACTCACTAAAAATGCAAGTTGATTTTGTGTAAGAATCATTTCAATACGAACAAGTTCACAAGGCCGTCATTCAAGTTTCATCAAAATCCAAATCTATTCAATGTTTTTTTTATAAGCCACCTTGTAAGCCATAAAGCCAAAAGTTAAAGCCAATGTTTAAGTTTTTGTTTTGATTACTTGAACTACAAACTACATGGAGAGTCAACAAAAGGGCAAAATAATCATTCAAATTTTCAGGGATACAAAATATTGTCAGGAGGGGTTTTCAAGTCTCATTCAAAGTGCCTTTTTATTCATTCAAGATTCATACAATTACAAAGAAATAGAAAGGATTTTCATTCAAATCAAGGTTCTATAATACTATAAGATCACACGAAATTTCTTAAGCCTAATATTCAATCTTCAAACCAAAACTTGCCCACGTTGTTATGCCTTGCTGTCTTGCTGTCCAATTTGACTTACTCCAAAACAGTACACTTATGCATCACAAATTTTCTACCTTGTTGTACCTCCTGCCTACCTGCATAAACTAGTACAGAAACATGTATTACATTAAACTAATCCACACTAAAATCAGTTCAATAGTCGCACTTGAAACCGGTTCAAAAAATCAACACCAAAGGACCAAAACTAGCATAACGCTCATAGAAACAGGCCCCTATATCGAAACCTTAAAACAATTATCATGAACCACCTCGCTACGGATATAGATGCCCTGCAATGCATAAGCCAGTAAAATAGTTGTCCATAAAAATCAGTGCACCTTTTGATTGCATTGCTACTAAACTGACCCACCTGCATTAAGCCATTCAGCTTATGTGCATAAAAATACAAAGAGTCGAGATCACCATACCGTAAAAGTCTGCAACAAATTTACAGGCTTCCTTTCACTTTTAGATTCCAAGGCATATTGAATGGATCTGTATTCGTCCATCATGAGCAAAACCCTACGTTAAGCCATGTAGTTCCCTGTTGCATCAAACTCAAACCAGCCGCAAGCTTGCTTCAAGCCCTTTGTCGTCAGTTCGAGCCTGTCCACACATTCTATAATGAAAGTCGTTACTGTTTGCATCGAATAAAAATAGAATAACAACATGAATAGCTATGGACATTAACAACCCTGTCCAGAACTCCTAACCGCTTTTAACCATTTTCCTAACTACTTCTAAAAAACTGTCAAAAACCAAATTTCTAAACAGAATTCCATAACCACTTTTCTAACTCCAGTTAACCTATCCCTAATTACCTTTTCTAAACCCAACCTACTTCTAACATAACCGCCAAACATAATTCTAACTGAACTCTAGCAATTTACCAAACTAAATGCCAATAACAAAGCCTCTATCTATTCTAACAGAATTGCAGACCCTGCATTCCAACTAATAGCCGAAGCTCTCTAACTAACTATTTCTTTTCTTACTAACAGAAAATAGAGATAGGGCTAAACAAATATCCTCTAACCAATAATTTTCTAACCATATCCTAACTTCTAAAACAAAAAATTAACTATAACAAGTTTCCAGCAGAACTAATAACCAAAATAGAATTCCCCAAACGTTTTTCCCAACAGAATTATAACTCCCTAACCGCTCTAACTTCTAACAGAAAAAAAACTGCAACTAACTTTCAGAACTGCCTACAACTTCAAAACAAAATTTCCAAACAGAAATTCTAACTGGCCACACCAGGAAACTTCCAAAAAAATTCAACAAAAAGAAAAAACAGAACAAAAAAGGGATTCCAGAAGAGAGCATAACAAAAAAGAAGAGGGGGGAGATTCAGGGGATTTTTTCTACAACTTAACAGAAATTCACAAAAGAATAAAGACTCACCTTTTCGTTCTCTCTTCAATTATATCTCCCATAATCTTCATGCTTGAATCTTCATCGTGTTCCACCTTTAAGCCTCATCTTCACCTTCTCTAAAAAACGCCTACTCTTCATTCTTGGAACCTTTCATTCTCAATCTCTGTATTCTCTCTGCAGAAACCATCCTCAACGTTCACTCTTTCCGGCATCACCTTCATCATTCCCATTAATCTTCAACATAATCCTCATATTAACTTGCTACCATCAACATCATCAATACCTCTTGGTTCAATTCAGCACCGTGTGAACATCAACAATAGCAGTATCAAGCATCTACAAGAAAAGACACCATCCTCATCATCTTTGCTTCGTCCTCCACAATTTAGCGTCAGCATCATTCATCACAACAATCACCGCATCTTCATAGATTTTCGGCCGAGGTTCGAGAATCTTTATCGATTCTTCATCATTATCAATGGTCTTCATTGAAACCACACAACACCGCAACGCATCAGCATCAATATCCTCCTCACTCATATGCATTCAGCAACGGAAATAGTAGTTATAACTCTGGAAAAAAATGCGATAACAACGAACACAAGAAGAAGAAAAGAGGAGAAGAAATACCATGATTCACCGTCGAAGCCGGACTTCATTCTCAGGTTCTCTTTCACGCTTCGCTTCGATTCCATGTTAGATTAATATCGCTTGCATCGAATATCCCCAATTCGCTTGAATCCCCAACATTAGTAAACTTAGGGTTTGTGATTTCTGGAGCTTCGATCCCGTCGATTAAGGAGAAGTCAACAAAATCTGAGGCCAGGTTCGTCTTCAGAGGCTAAATTAAAGCCATGTTCTTGTAAAAATGTTATTGTTGCAGCGATATGGGGAGGTCGTCTTTGCCGGAGCGACTTCCGGGACGGTGGTGTTTTGAGAGAACGTACAAACAAATGAAAACAAGGTGAGAAGAGGTCGAGCAGAAGGTGAAAGGTTATCTTTCCTAAAACACACCGTATCCCATTCAATTGTCATGATTTTTGTGTTTTACTTAAAATAAAGATAATGAAGTGGATGGATAATTGAAATGGATGATAGATTTGTTTTGTTGATGGGCTGAACTGGTTATTCCTTAGGCCCATGACTTTTTGGCACAAATTGATCACCTTACAAAAATAACCCTTGAGGATTCAGGCTGATGGGGCCTTAAGTATCTTATACGTCACTCCTGATCAAGAATTTCACCCTCCTTGGTGTTATTTATTTTCAATAATGTCTCTCACTTGTTCCAAGATTTTTGTCAATTATTGTGGGTGATATTGCGAAACAAAAAGGGGCTTGAGTGAAGATTTTCAAGAGGTTTTGGAGTAACTTTAGACTGCAATCTTCATCGAAGAAGCTTTGTGTAGAGTTTTCTCTTCGCTTGCATGGTTTCAAAGAGGCAACGGACCTTCTCCGTTCGGTATCATCGTGACCTTATTTTATTCTTCATTTTCGCACTTTATTGCTTTCTAGATACCATGAGAAGTAGTAAATAAAGAGCGTGTGCTCGAAGTCACTGTTAAAAGACCTGTAGCAGGAATTCCGCACTTCATTTGCTATATGTGTTGTGCTTGTATTTGTTTCTTTGGTTGTTGATCGATGAGTCACTCAATTTAGAAATTGAGATCACGAATTCTCTCTCTCTCAGTGCATGCTCCCTATAGTATTTTATGCTTTCCTTTATTTATTGTTGATCGATGAGTCACTCAATTTAGAAATTGAGATCACGACTTCACTCTCATTACATGTTCCCTATAGGATAGTTTTGTTAGACTTTCTTTGGCATGCTAACCTAGATAGGATTTCTCTAGGTGTGCTCTCTTGAGCTTATTGATTTTCTTGTTTTATCCTCGTACATACCGTGTTCCCTTAGGATGTGCTTGCTCCGTTCGGATGCGAGTTAGACCTTAGGTTGCAAGCCATGCATGCTAACATTAGGTAGAAATTTCCCCTTTCATCCAAATCTTAGGACTACCATTGTATGATAACATTAGGTTAGAAATAGGCCAGTATCCCTTAGACTCATTTCTTCCCTTTTGCATATGCATCTAAAACTAAAACATCTTTTCTTAGCAAATCAAAAACATGCTAATCACACTTAAACCCATTTTCAAGGTAATAAAATACAAGCCAATTCAAACCATTTTGTGCGCTCAAGCACCTTTTCTCTAAAACGTTTTTCAAGTAAGGACATGATTAATTTAATTATGTGCCAACGCATAAGTCTCCAAAGGTCGAGCTGCGGAAGAAGGCGAAATTAACGTTGTCCATAAAAAACATAAACAAACAAAAACATGTGAGCTGAACTATGGTAGCTCTGATTCCTCAAAAAGGATACGTAGGCATTGGGGTAGGGCCCAAGAGAGTACAACTTTATTTTCCCTACATTCTTTTCTCCTTTCTTTTGCATGCATTCTTCAGTAGTAAACATTAAGCATAGATTAAAAACACCCATAAGATAGACAACAAGAATAGATACTATAGAGTACTACGAGCGTGTGGGGTGCTAATACCTTCCCCTCGCGTAATAGACTCTCTTACCCGATCTCTCGGTCGCAAGACCGTGACTTCTCCCTTCTCAGGTTTTCTCGATGTTTACCTTTCCCTCCATGTGGGATAAAAGACGTTCGATGGTGACTTCATTGTTTGATGATTTTCAGCCGGTTGTTTAAGCCGACGACTTCACTGGGGACAGGTCTACCAAATGGTCGTCCCTCCCGGAGTCGCTCCTAACTCTTGTTTCCTTTCTTTGGGTGTTTATTTTTACGCTTTCAGTTTAATCATTCATTTTGTATATACCTGAGCATATTATGTATGCATTGCATTTTACTGTTTACCATATACTACTGCTGTATTGGGTATACTTCTTATTGGGTGGGTGTTACTATGAGGTAAAAGGCCCAATACCCAGACCAGAGTGCACTAGGACACCAGGAATAAAGTGGAACATGAACGACTAGTTGATGTAGGTTTTACTATTGCCGCCATGTCGTCCATGCTCAGATGAGGTACAAATGAGGGGCTATCATTTTCACGTAGGTGATACGGTGATAGTTTTCTTAGGAGTACCCTCGATTCTGAATTACCATTGCCTTACCCTGACCTAGTCTTCACCCGTGAGTGGGGGGAATTATTATCACATGTACAATTGGTGACCATGTTTAGATGGTTACTCATGTTCAGATGGTGACTATGCTCAGACAGTGACTATTGGTTCTAATGGTTATGTTCCGGATTTCTGTTAGTGACTTATGCATATGGTGTTATGTTGGTGACCATATGGTTCTCAGATTTATTTTCTTAGTTCCCGATTTTTATATTTGGAGGTTCATTCGGGCCTTCGATATTGGTATTCCCTGCATGTTCAAAAAAGGCTCAACAGTATCCAGTGGTCTAGAAGCCCTGATCTCGTACAATTGATGATATATATGGTAATTGGTTCTTGTATATGCGGAAGCTATGCCGGACCTTTGATCTGATGATATTTATATGGTTTAGAAACAATGTTGTAATCATATTCAGGAATGATGGACCTTTGTGAAGATGTGAAAAACACAAGAAGGGGGGTTGAATTGTAAAACTTGAAATCAAATGCAGACAACACGATATTTTTATCCTGGTTCGTTTGATCTCAAACTACTCCAGTCCACCCGTCAAGGTGATTTCGCCTCTCTCCAACGAGGTCTTAATCCACTATATTCAACTGAATACACAACCGCTTTAACAATTGTTAAAGCCTTCTTGAGTCTAACCACAGACCGATTTATCTCAACGAATTTCTCTTACAGATAAATGAACAAATGTGTGTTTGATGTTTTCTAGAAAAACTATATATCACAACCGTGATAATACACAATATGAAGCTTAGATGAAACTAGATTGCTAGAGCTATAGAGTAAGCGTGGTTGAAAGCTTTAGCAAAAGTGAGAGCGTGCTTGAGGATGATTAGCTTAAGCGTGTATGTTATGTCTTATATAAATCTCATAATTCATTTAATCTTGTATTTTGTTATCATCAAAACTTTAACTGAGGGTTGTAGAATCAAACTATGTTCTAATACTTTGTTCCCATGTCTTTGCATACATAACACGGCTACCACATGCTTAACATACATGTTCTGTTATTTCCAAAGAATCATATTTGTAAGTCTTGTGCTAAACTCTTTCATCCATTACTTGTGTAAAATCAAAGCATGTAAGTTCCTTGGAAATGATAAAACATGACATGGCATTCATTCATGCACCCCATGCATACTCACGCATTCGCAACAGGTATTCGAAGATTTGGGATTTTTATTTAGACTTGGTGATCTCCTCAGAGGTTCAAATTAATTTCTTACTGCACATGCTCAGAGACTAGTTATGGAATAACTCTACGTGGTATACATGCGAGCTTTGGACCGTGATCTGAAATCCTTCAAGAAGGAAGACAATTGATTGAAGACTCAGATAAGCCATGTCATGAAAGCTCTGGTGATAATGTCAAAAATCTTACACTTACTTCCGCAGCAAGTTCTCTCTACTCCCCATCTTTTGAGGAACACTTTCAACCATGGAGTGCTACATAATCTTGATTTCTTGGAACATATTATCAGCAGATGGTTCCCATTTACTACGGGATATTATACCAGTGCTTCGTTCTTGTTGACCAACGTCAGATGTGGTTACCACGCCGGGGCATCCGACTATTCAATCAAGGGGATTTTCCGCAGTCATGCGTTCCATGATCTGTTCGACAACAATCCGTCTTTGTTCCCCTAGTGAATTCATGATAAAAATATTTTAAGCAAAGACAGAAGAATCCTGATGAGCTTGCTGGTACAAGCCCAATGTATTACATCCGGTTATTTCCAGATCTGATCTTTGGGGTCCTCTTCCCACAAACATCTTTTCTGATTATGATATACATGCTAGATGTATCCTCTATTCTGGGCACCCGGTTTTGATATTGAAAATTGTAAAGAGGTTGAAGTATAAAGCCCAGCACCTGTCTGGCGTCTCTTCCAAAAGTCTAGTTCCCATTTTCCCAACTGTTAGACTCTTTGTCACCAGGTGGATGTCTCTGTTGTTGTTCTAATAGAAGACAAACTGTATTATTTCTATATGGCGTAATATGCTTGGTGATGCAGTTTATACCGGTTCGCTTGATAAAGAATTCATTCACTCTCCTAAAAGAATCCTCTACGCATATATTCTGGGGTACCTGGTCATTCAATTAAAGATAGTATGTCATCCAGAGGCAAGGTCCAAGACGGGATTAATCCAGAGACTATTGTATTCACATCCGATCAGAAGGGGAATTATCTCGCCCATTTAAGCATCAAGGCTACAGAAAGTCGTCAGAATCAACAAGTCCATACGGAGTCAAGTCTCCTCAATGATGGAAATCATCGGTTTCTTTACTGCATTTTCATTTGCATTCTTGCTTGTTTGTTTAAACATTGTTTGCATGTAGAAACTTGGCTATTTTTGAATGAAAATCTTAATGCAATAAGTATGCTTGTC